AGTAGCCTGCCCACACGAGTAGATAAACACGGCGGCTTTCAGATGTATTGGCTGCAATGTGTGCTTTCCGTAACACTAGACCGTACATGCACGGAAAATAAATTCGCCTCGCTCGGCGCCCAACGGGGGCACGTGCGTATCGAGTCGTAGGTGTTGCGTCACCACTCCGGCGTTACGTCATAGGCACGCGTGAAGCCACAGAGGCACGGATAAGTAAAGTGACGTGACGCCTTACCGGTTCTTGATTAGCGAGGATACTTTTTCCCCTCAGAAGGAGGATGAGGAGGAGGAGTATGACGCCGAGAAGGGGGGGGGGCAACCCCCCCTCCCCCCAATGAGGAGGATGAAGATGGGAGAGGGAGAGGATGGAAGGGGAGGAGAGGAGGAGGTGGAAAGGAGGTGTATCTGTAGAGGGGGTATTTGTAGGGGTGTATTTATAGAAGTTAGATGACCAACGGCCTCCGTGTCCGGATAGCCGTCCGCCATAGAGAAACTCGTCGCCCGGCTAGCTCAGTCGGTAGAGCACGAGACTCTTAATCTCGGGGTCGTTACGCCCACGTTGGGCGTAACTTTTTTTTTTTTTCATTTCACGTGAAGTTGGCCGGCGGAACAATATCCGAGTGTGATTATATATACGCATATAATATAGATTTGTAAAAAAAAAATATTGCGTGACTCTTCGACCTCTTTTCGCCAGCGCAACTGCCAGCTTTTTACAGAAAGAGAACGGATTTGCTAGGTCAATTTACACAACTAGTGAGCCAAAAAGTAAGGGCGCAAACGAGCTGGTGTACATTGCACATAGAGACTTCTTAGTGTTGTGTCTTTTTACCCGCAGTCTCGGTTTTTTTTCAACCATGTGCATTATTCCGTTTTTGCAACTCGGTACGTTCGAGCCGCTGGCTCGAACGTACCGAGTTGCTAAAACGGTTTCCTCAAAGTCCCATTTGCTTCCGTCATTTATTTTCTCATTGTGGAGCACGTAGGCAAAGGCCTACGTTGCGCAAATAGAGATTGTTATCAACTTCAGATAGTACGAATGCCCCAGCTTTCTCGACGTTAGACCTAAGAAAGGCGGGCGCGAGCATACCCACCCGATTGCCGGCCCCGGGCCTCGGTGCCCGCCCGTGACGTCACGTTTGGAAGGCAAGAAAACTGAGGAAAAACTAGGGAAAACGATGTTTCGGTTTCGGTTGCGAACAAAATATTACTTTTTTCAATTACCTAGAGTGAATCTGGGAAACGAGATACCATTTCTTAAACAGGAAGCTATCCGCGTTCCGATTATTCCTTCGAATCAGGTAGCTGGAAAAATCGTCCTAGTTACCCGTTTTCTCTGTCCGTTCGTGAGTTTCTCGCTAAATTTAGCGGGGAAGTTGATGTTACGTATCCTAAAGAGTAATTCAGTTTCCCCACTGAATGTAGCGGAAAAATTGTCGTCACCTGACCTGACGTTAATTGACCCCTACACCAATTCAGTTTTCCCGCTAAATTTGGCGGGGAAATCGGTGCCACGTGACCTGGCGTCACGTGACTAATACTCAAGTCTAGTTTCTCCGCTAAATTTGGTGTAAAAATTGATGTCACGTGACATAACGCCGCGTGAACTATACGCCAATTCATTTTTTCCACTAAATTTAGAGGGAAAATTGACGTTACATGGCATGAGGCCACGTGCCCTATATATAAATTGAGTTTCTTCGATAAATTTCGCGGTAAAATTGACTTCACGTGAACAATGCACCAAATCAGTTTCTCCGCTCAAATTAGTTTAAATAATACAGATCTTTATTGCCTAAATACGAACTGTTTAATAATGTCTTCTAAACAAATTAAAACGATCGCATTTTAAAAGCTCCACGTCATGCATTACAGAACATAAAAAAATAAAATCCGCTGCGTTTTGTTTCACGTCTTTATTTGCAAGGAACGTGAAACATAGAGCCTAGGTGTACGCGTCAAAGCAGAGGCACCTGCGACACGTTGATGCTTAAAATAATTGTTGCCAGTTGTGTGAAGCTTTATCTGAGCACGACGTCATGCTCGGCGAGGCCGGAAGTCACGTGGCCCCAGAGATCGGCTTCCGCTCGGCTCCGGGAAAATCGGCAGATCGAAGATCGATCCGGAGTGGGCGCTGCTCCAAAACGACCAACAAATTCTAATTAAATCGTTTTTTTGGGAATGGCAACTGTACGCACTTTAGATATTGCATCGGGTATACCTATGCACCGTATAAATTATGTTTCAGTAATGCCGAACAGTGCGGCGTTATTTTTTCAAGACGCACAAGATTATCTTCAAAGCCCGACCTACAAAAAGTTTTTTTTTTTTTCGCAAGGTGGGAAAATCCTTTCCGCCACACTTCCCTATTCCCCCCTCTTTCAGACGGTGGGAGGACTAATTTTCTGGCTGCATTTTGAGGTGGGATAAGCCGGGATGAGCTCCCGGCTTTTCCAGCCCTAAGACGCCACAGCAAAAGGAGTCCCCACTTCGTCCAGACACCAGGGGGAGAGGAGGAAACGGGAAGGGTGGCGAGGAGGATGCAGTAAATTCTTTTGAAGGTCGGTCTTTAAGTTATCTTAAAGGCTGGTGACCAGGCTCGAGATTCTGCAAGGCAGAAGAACCTCCTCACCATGGGGGAGCAGGAAACAGGCAACGGTGTACAATGTAGAAGGGGGAGAGGAGGAAAAGAGGGAAAAGTGGAAAACGCGAACTGGTCGCCGGCCTTTAAAGGCCGACGTACACTTCACACGTTCCACCTTTGCCCGCCACCTTCTTTCCTATATCCTCTCCATGTTTTACCCTGCCCCCACCTGCATACTTCCCCGGAAGCTTGGGAGAGAGGAGCGCCGAGAGGATTTGCTTCCCTGCACAAAATCGAGTTTGTACGTCGGCCTTTAATAGCATGCGAAATGTGATGGAACACTTGGATTTCAAAACAAATCGCTAGCGAACGCGAGTAGCGGTGACAACCGTTTGATATTTGCCACACTATTCGTTTCGCATCGTTTATAGACTTCTTTTCGTGAAAGATGAACGCTTGGGAGGAACCGACCGCGCTCCCTAGATAGGGATTTCTAGAACACGTGACTGGTAGTTCAGGGACGCCAAGGAAGAGGTCCCTAGAGGCACTTCGTTGTACAAAATGGTCGCGACTGAATGTCCGACCGTCTTCGAGATTACGAATAAATCAGGTACGGTGTTTGTACGATGTACGCTGTGACCCGCTAGATTTAGCGGGGAAATTGTCACCCCACATGACGACACGTGACACTGTAACGTGATAAAAATGTTATCCTATAAGTTTTTTTTATTTTTATTTTTTATTTACACTCCCATTTTGCACAGTGCAAACCGTTCGTCCTATTGCAAAAAAAAGAAATGCTCCCTGCAACTTTTTTATTTTCTTTCACAGGCTCACTTTGGAACTTTGTCAACATATGTGTACTTTCTGCCCATTCTACTTCTACAGTGATCTACTTTTGCACGTATTATTTATTTATTTATTTATTTATACATACTTCCGACTGCCAAAGGGCAGCTAAGTTAGAAAAAACATCGTAGAAAGATCTCAACAAAAAGCAAATACAAAGGTGGGGTACCACTGAACCCACAATTGGTGCACAACACTACACTCTCTCAAAATAAACATAACACTGCACAAATAGGGGGAGAAACACGTCATTATCATTTTCTATACGACAAAAAAGAAACAGAACATAGTAAAAACGAAAAAACAACAATAGGTACAATGTTTTCAAGTGAATAAGCCTGAAATATAACATTTTTGGCAACCGTTTCAATAGGTCTAAAAACGACTACTCTAAACTTGAAGACACGATTTTACCGGGCAGCGAGTTGCACTCGTGAATATTACGTGGGAAAAAGTGGTATTCATAACAATCTGTTCTGAGTGTTTCGCTGTTTTTTTGTTGTTTTTTTTTTGTCCCTCTAGATGTATTAAAATTAAAGCAGCGCTTCGATATTCCAAATAAAAGTTACCATTTATCAGATCCAAAAGAAACTTCAGACGACTAATCCATGTTTCTCCAAGAAAGGCAAACCGGTCTGGACAGACATATTTGAAATAGACGTATTCCTGTTATATCTGTTCTCTCTAACTTATTAATAGTATATTTTGTGTGCAGGTCCCAAACAACACCGGCATGCTCAAGTAAAAATTTTACAAATGTTTTATACGCATTTAGTTTTGTATTGCTCGAGTGGCCCTTCAGTAACATTTTTATGGTTCACAATGTATTCATTACTTTGCGTGCAATAATGTCGACATAATTTCATGGTATTATTAGTCTCAGATTCCCAGTGGTTTGTACTCGAATACCGCCTTTGAACTGATGTGTATTTCTTCCCACTAGTCATTGTCCTGTGCGCACACTTACAATAATTAGAGAAACCCTCATTATACGCGCAAGGGTAAATGGTTCAAAAGATGGTAGGGGATATATCCTTGTTGATAGGGAAGTAGCATGCACCACCTACCATGGAAACGTTCACGTTTTCACCTTCAAATTTTGCCCTCAATCCAGTCTGCTGTTAAATCGCCTGGTTCACCAATTCTGTGTAATATCACACTTCTATGGACCGTTAACAGTGTGACCTGGTCTCTAAAAAAACACGACGTCATGTTTGGAACAAAAACAAATAACCTACCAGGATTCAAACGCACGGTACGTGCTTCACAACAAATTTTATCTTTTTAAAAAAAAAAATTATATAATAATTTTGGAAGTCAGAACCGATGAGTTGTTTCTAAAAATAAAATACATATTTCCGTTTGAGTTACAATATCTCAACGCCTGCAGGTACTTATATAACTTCTACGTTTACAAAGCTCCCGTCCAATAATAATATTGATAATAAAAACCGGAGTTACGGCGTATCTAATATCCTACGTACACTGGCTCGAAAGAAGAACGAGGGGTAACCTCGTTTAAGTTAAAAATTGCGACTCCCAGGCAAAATTGCAGCGTACGAACAATTGAAAAAAAAAAAAAAAAAGAAGAGATAAATGAGGTTGTTTTAGTTGAAGGGACGTTTCGTATCAAACCTGTTTGCCATGACACTTCACCCGATGTCTGCAGGACTCCAGGATCAAACAGGTGTTGCGTTTCCGGCATACAGGCGCCAGTGATATTTCAGCATTGCCTCAAGAGGAAGCGCCGCTACGTCGTCCCTGTTCTATACGTGTCCGTGAGCTCGCGTCAAGCTGATTACAGTGAAACAGGCAAGTCGTAAACTTTCAACCGTTCGCATAATTATAGTCGCTGACAATTTAAGAAACACAGTAGCGTGGCGAGTGCCGTTAAGAACGTCCGACCAGTTCGCGCTCGCCTTCCACTTTTTCCCCGCATCTTCCTCTCGCCATGTCCACCGTTGCCTGTTTCGTCCTCCCCCATTGTGAGGAGGATCTTCTGCCTTGCAGAATCTCGTGTATTGTCGTCGGCCTTTAAGAGCCCCGAAGAACGAATCCTGAAGCAAGATGCCGGAACATAATAAGCTATGTTTAAGTATATTTGGTCTCTCCCAACTATAGAGCTCACCAAATTGTGTTCTACACAGATTATAGTTTACGATTTTTTCTATCTCCCACCTGTCATTTACGTTCTTTATCTTCGCTTTACTTGAGCTTTATACAGCGTCTTTCCGCCCAAAAAATTACACACCATAACGGCCCTTATAAATAAGACACTTGACGTATAAAGCTGTTAAGTTTCTCAAGTACGTCTTTTATTGGTTCATTTAACATACTAAAATTGAACTTCTCTAATTCAAATAAAACTAAAATGATAATTAAAAATGATTGTTTTTCAATGGTGGAGCTGCAGCGGTCGGAGGTAGAGTCACGAAATAAAGCTGCTAGGCGTCTGAAGCGCATCAGGCGCCGCCATCTTGGGTACACGCGCAGATGGACGAGTGATTCTTGCCGAGCCAAGCCGAGCTGTAGCCGTCGCCTGCGCCAGCTGCCGCAGCCGCAGCTGTGGAAGCCTGGTGGAAGCGAATCGAGGTCGTGTTGTTCGTATCTCGACTAGGGGTGTCGCGAACCGGCCGAGGTTCGAGTTCGACCTGGTTCGACTTTGTCGAACTTTTCGTAGAAATTTCGACGAACCTTGTATTGAGGTTCGACTCGTGTGCGCATGCGCGACAGGCTGGCCAGTTGGCTTCGGATTGGATGGTAATGGCTAATAGATGAATTAAGGGCACCGCTGGTTGGTTATTTCAGTTAATACAGTACAAACAAAATTAAGTTATTAATGTCTTTAGTGATTAGAAGTGTTTTTTTTAAATTCCAACTGTTCATAAAATAAAATAACCATTTGCATAAAAATAGATTCTCCAAACCTAGACATGCGTTTCTCAAGGTCTGGCCACACTGTCCGCAAAGTCGAACCGGTCGAATCTGGTAAAAAGTTCGAAGGTTCGTCGAACCGGTTCGACTTAGTCGAACCCCTAAAGTTCGACCTAAAAATCCGGTTCGACAAAAGTTCGCGACACCCCTAATCTCGACGTAACACAAAAAACGCGCGTGCTGAGCGACGGACTTCAGCTTGCGCCTGCAGTAAACAGTAAACAGAAACAGGCAGAGGACCGCTGCACCTAGTGCCACTAAATAAGCTACGCTTCAGAGTAACGACACTTGGCCATATTGTGGCTTAAAATCACGGTTGCCAGTTATCTGAAGCTTTATCTGAAATCACAGGAAATCCTTTTCCGCCCTCCACAAATGTTTAAACCGTTCGCGACAGAGCAAAGCAGTATTACATGACCCTCCTAACACCGAATCTAATGCTGAGTAAGTCGCACTTTTGAATCAAGACGATCGGCCGTTGCGTCTGTTCTGCATACGAGCCAAAATGGCGGCGCCCACAACAATGTCGGGGAACGGAGTGCCGATACTCTAAGCGCAGCTTATTTAGTGACTCTAGCTCAAGGAGGTTAGAAGTACTAGGAGGGGGCACGTTGCAATATTGGTGAAGCCTAGTCATAAAAAGTTTAAACGATTTTGTGCCCAGCGTGACCGCAGATCTCTCTGGCGATTGGTGCGCGTGACATGTCACGTGTGAGATGGATGGTTGATTGTAGAAGGACTCCTTGCAGGCTTGCGCGCGCTCCGTCCGGTAGGTTTTATCAGGTCGAAGTCTAGACTGTGGTGTATTCTAGTACCCCACAGCAAGACGAAGTCTAGCTATGGTCACGTGATGTGGTCACGTTGGCATGGTAAGTGAGGAGAGTAAGGAGGAAAATGAGAAAGAGGCGAGGCGTCAAGGGAGCATGGCTTGTGGAGGCTACGCGGCCGACGTCATGCCCTCTCCTACCCTTCTATTCTCCATGCTCTAGCTGCACCTAAGATGGTGGCGTTGAGAAAACGTGATGATGATGATAGCGACTCACGTGACTGCCGCTGTCCAATGACGCCGCAGCGAATCAGTATTGTTGTTGTTGTTGGATAGAGCGACTCTATTGTCGGCGAAATGCCAAAGAAAATTAATGCGGTACTCTGAAAGCGTAGCTTATGTAGCTTATTTAGTGACTCTAGTCGGAGGGAGATCGAACGACGGCCACGTTTGCCTAGCTTATTCAGAGATGGCGCCACGAATACGCCAGCGGGGCGCAGTCATTGGGGGTGCCGGAAAAAATACGCCTGTCCTGTCTTTTAGACCAGGGGTGCACAACTCAAAAAATAGTCGGGCCAAAAATTAGTCAGGCGTCACCTAGTGCGACGTGTTGTACATTTTGGGTGCGGCCAGGCTTCCGATAGCAGGTGTCATCGCACTCGTTACCGTCTTTAGCACATCTCGCAATCCGTCATGGCAGATCGAAGGCGGTTCTTTGTTCAGAGTCATCAATGAGAAGGTCTGCTCACAAACCAGCGTCACTAGAACAACTCAATTGGGAAACTGTCAGTTTCCCAACTGAGTTGTTCTAGTAACGGATCAGTGTCGCTTTTTCAGAGGAGGCTCTATGTAGAGCTTCCTTTGAAAAAGTGACACAGATCAGTTTACATTTCTAATGCCTTCAATACCTGTTAGCGGATAATTAAACGAATCTGTTGACATAGTCAGGAATCCAACATATTATAGAAATAATATATATATATATATATATATATATATATATATATATATATATATATATATATATATATATATATATATATATATATACACATATATATATATATATATATATATATATATATATATATATATATATATATATATATATATATATATATATATATATATATATATATATATCCTAGAAGAAAGACTATACCGCGGAGCGAAAACACCCCAAACAGCATAAGCCTTTAAAGATAATCAGCGCTATTCTACGTTAGATTATCTGTTTTGACACATTAAACAAAAAATATGATGGGAAGAAAAAAAACTTGACAATAAATACGTGGTTTAACTTCTTTTGTTTTAACTAATAGCTTAAAGAACGACTAACACTTGCAAAAAAAAAAAAAATATATATATATATATATATATACATATATATATGAACGACTATGTGCAGATGAATGAACCGTACTTAATCCAATGAATTAAAGAATCTAAGTTTTCAGGAACCCGCCGAAAGCCAAAAATTGGCGGAGCCAGGATTTGAACTCTGGGCCTCCCAATGTCCGGTCGGGTGTGCTAACCACTACACAACTCCACCTTTTTTCTTTTTTTTTTTTTTTTTTTCAAAACGTTTATTTACATGATTATATACACTTTTACACTATTTTACAATTTATACATAAATTGTTCACAGAACTGGTTACACATGTCACACACTCTACACTCAAGATGTTAGGGCGCATTACTTCAAAATTTGTTATTTTTCATTGACACCGATTCCAGTTCGCCTCAACTAAAACTTAACTTTTCTTATAAAAATGTTTTGCTATTATATAAGCTAGGTGTTTTGAATATAACCTAAATGATGTCAGGTGAACGACTGAGGCTTTGTACAACTTCTTTCCATTCATCATGTCCTTCATAATTTTCGAGCATGCTTTGGCCTACGAATATGGTTATGTTTTTGAAGTTTACCCAAGAAGGTTTGGCCACACCCCCATCCGTATCCACTTTTCGAGTTTTCCATAGGCTATATAAACCTAACACGACGAGTGTGTCAAGAACTGAATCCAGTTGGCTTCCAAAATGCAAGTAACGAAGAATGCACTCTTCAACTTCAAAGTCCTTTTTCAGTGTCCGCTTGAAGACGTCCCAGAAAAATACAGCATCAACGCACAGTACAAAGGCATGAGTCAATGTCTCAGTTGTCTTGCACAGTCTACAGTCCGTGCTCCAAAATACGTCAAACCCACGGGATTCGCGCCATTGCTTCACAGGTATCGTTCGAGAATGAAAGCGGAAAAAGAACGTCTTGCACTTAGGTGGTATTGGCATACGTTTAACCCGTTTCAGGACATCCTGCTTACAATTGTGAGGAGCCGCAAACGCACTTAAGCGATACAATGGTTCGGGAAACAAAGAGTTGATGAGAGATGTAACTAAGTTCTTTTTGGAGCATGACTCTAAATAGGCACTAGAGAACCGTGCATTCAAGAAATCGATAGTTTCGGCAACTTCTTTATAGAAACCACGTAAAGTGATTGCGTCGCCCGAAAGCTTTTCGTCTACTCTGGATCCTATGTACCTCGCCAAGAAAAACTCTTTGCATCTTTCTAGAAACGGGTGCTGTAAGGTTCTAAAAAATTTCCATCTCGCGATAAGTTGCCTCACAAAGATATGGCCAAGGCCGAGGCCGCCATCTTCAGTTCGTCGAAAAAGGTTAGATCTCCTCATTGGCTCATACGACGAATTCCAAATAAATGTCGCAAAAATTCTGTTGAATTCATTAACGGTAACTCTGGAACAATGCATGACTTGGAGCAGGTATGTGAGCTTAGACAAAAGGAAAATATTACAGACAGCGGCTTTCCCAAAAATAGATTCCTTAGATTCCACATGTGAGCAGCTGACTTAACGTTAGTTCTTACAGTGTCCCACATGGACCTGGGGTTGTCCATAGCGCTTAGTGGAACGCCTAAAAGTTTCGGTTTGTTCGTTGACCATCGGATGTCCTCGTATATGGTTGGCGTTGTTCCCCACGACCCGCACCAAGATCCACTGCTTTTCTCCTTATTCACGGAGGCACCGGACACAGAGCAGTAGTCTGCAACACGTGACATTGCTGTAGTGATGCTTGGCTTGTCGGAGCAAATGAGGACCAAGTCGTCTGCATATGCCAGGAGCTTTACTTCACAGGCGTGAAGACGAAAACCTTGTACGTTAGTATCGTTGATGATATCCCTGCAAAGAGGTTCTAGGTAAACATTGAATAGTAGCGGTGACATTGGGCAGCCTTGGCGTACCGATCGTTTCACCATGATGGATGTAGAAAGAGATCCGTTGATGAGTAGCTTCGTTGATATGTCCTTGTAACATAACTTAATGCCGTTTTCAAGGATGTCGCCGATGTTTACGTGCTTCAAAAGGGCAAATAGGAAAGAATGGTCCACCTTATCGAAAGCTTTCGCCAGGTCCAATTGTAATATAGCAGCTGATTCATGCGTACGCTGGCAAATCTCTAATATTGATCGAACGATATGAAGATTGGTCTGTATATTTCTGCCTTTGATAGAACACGTTTGGTGATCTCCAACGATTTGAGTTATCACAGTCTGGAGTCTAGCCGCTATCATTCGAGCTAGTATCTTATAATCGCTGTTGAGGAGGCTGATTGGTCTATAGCCTTCAACCTGTTGTAACTTCTCAGGGTCTTTTGACTTCGGAATGAGTATGGTGTGAGCCTTACGAAACGATAGTGGCAGTGTACCTTCTGTATAAGAGTCTTTGATCACGTGACATAGAATAGGGGCTAGTTTTTCTTTCCATTTCTTGTAAAAACTTGCAGGTAGACCATCCGGTCCGGGAGCTTTACGGCTTTTCATTTCGGTGATATTTTGTGTAATTTCGAGTGCATCGAAAGGCGCGTTCAATTTTTCCGTTGTTTCTTTTTGTAATGATGGTAATCTTGTTATTATTTCACGCAGTCGGGGAGCAGGGGCATTGGTACTCGATGCAAAAATGTCAGCGTAGTGAGACACAAATGCCTGCTCAATGTCGTTGTCCGCTGTCAACTCTTGGCCATTTTTCCGTATTAGTGGCACCAGCTTTTTCTTCACGTATTCACGTTCAGCATAAAGATATCTCTTTGTAGGCTTTTCACCCTCAATTAGTTGCAGGGTGCATGTCCTCACAGCAGCTCCCTCATATCGTTTCTTGTCGTGTTCTTCGATTTGTGCCTTTATATTTTTTATTTCTTTCTTATACAGCCCCGGTTGTTGGCTTTCGAGATTGTATAGGCATAAGAGGTCTTTGTTAAGGCGTTTCTCTTCTATTTTTTCGTAATACCTTTTTATTGAAGATATCTCGATCGCGAGTTCTCGTATTTTTATCTTAAACAGTTCCCACTTTTGGCACCACCCAGTTTTAACTTGTCCGAGGTCATCAATTAAACGTTCTACTCCAGTCTTAAAGTCATCGTTTTCGAGCAGGCTTTCGTTCATTTTCCAACATTCCCATGACTGTAGCTTTTTTTTCGTTTGCTTGCGACTAGGCCCTACGCTGACAGTGACCATACAATGGTCTGTGAAGAATGCAGGGATCACGTTGTAGTCACAAAGCCTACTGCCAGAAGAGCCAGATACGTATATACGGTCCAAACGAGCATGAGACGATCCTTGAAAATGCGTGTATTGAAGAACGTTCGTTGTAGTAGATGCATCGACCAGGTCACAATCTTGGACGAGGGCCCGAAGGATGTCTACACTGGAATCAGCGAATTTCTTGCTTGGAACTTTGTCCTTTGCATGCAAAACACAATTGAAATCACCAAGGACAATAACGTCGAATCTAGTGTCTGCATGTATCCTCACTTGGTTGAACAAGCTCTCCCTTTGTATGGTGGTGTTGTACGCATAAACAACGACTATGCGCCAGGGCTTGTCTTGTATAAGGACATTAGCTACGAGGGGCCTACCTGCGTCCATTCCTTCAAGCAAACTGCACATGCGGTACTGCAAACTTTTTTTGAACAACAGGGCACATCCAGCAGAATAGTCTCTTGCTGGGCAGTGGTATATGTCGTACAAGTTAGCCCAGGCCGTGTTTGCTGAAAGCAAAGCCGTGTCTCCTGACACTTTGGTTTCTTGTAATGCGAATATATCACAATTGTGAGGTTCCAAAAAACGAAGGAGTTGGTATTGTTTTTTTCGTGAATTAATACCTCGGACGTTAAGGGTACATATAGTGAAATCGCTTCTCTGAGTGGTGCCAAAGCTGGCTGTGGTCATTTAAACGTTAGGGCCGGATCGGGCTTGGCTTGTTTTCTGTCTATCCTTGAACTTTGACCTTCCTCGTTGTTCTTGGAGGTCGGGACTTCGCTGCTGTTCATCTCTCACAGCGATGTCGTCTTTGGAACAGCAGGGTTCCGCTGTGGGGTAGGTTTCAGTTTTCTCCACCTTCGCTTTCTTGCGCAGTCTCTCTTCTTTATCCTCAGCCGTTGTAGGTGGAGTCGTCTGGGCGGGAGACTTTCTTGGTTCTTTAACGTTTGTAGGTGGAGTGTCCCCTTGGGAACCTTGCATTTCTGCGTCGTCCAAACTGGGCGTCGGTCCACTCTCCTGATGTTCTGGAGACTTCAAATTTGTTTGGTCGACAGAGCCCTTGGGATCCTGGGAATCTTCTGGTTGTTCTTGATCTTTGGGGAACATTTCCTCGACGTCCATGATGTGTTCGCTTACATCAACGCTAGGTGAAGCATTACCCTGAAGCTTTGAGGCGTAGGTCACGACACATTCCTCCATGGAATGGCCGAACCGCCAGCACTGAGTGCAACGTGGGGTAGAGCAGTGCCTACGGATGTGGCCTACTGCTTTGCAGCGTAGGCAGACGGGAGGTCGACCGGGAATGACCACCAGAGTATTCACTCCATATATGTTGAGCATGTGGGGTACCCTGTCAACAGAGAGGTGGTCCTTAAGGACAAGAGTCACAACCCGTGTCAAGGTGGCTGTTTCCTCAAAATCAGAAAATCTCCACTTCTCTCTTGTGATTTCCTTTACCGTTCCAAACGGCTCTAGAACCTTCTTAACCTCGCTGTCCGGTAGTTGGGGTGGTAACCATAGAAGTTTAAGTTTGATCTCGTCCTTAGTGGGATCGATCACGACGCACCTTTTTTGCTTGATTACGAGCTCTTCACACGCTTTGATTTTGCACTTGGCTGCTCCGTTGGCGAAGACTGCCATCCATACATGGCTCATCTGGTAGGGGCCTAGTGCGATCAGATCTTCACGCTCAATTATCGAAAAAAGAGCTTCTTTGAAGTCTGTCGGCTTGTATGGTCTTCCGGTGATATCCGCGTGCAAAAAGAGTGAGTTGGAAACCAGCATACCTGTCGGTAGACGTGGCAGAATGATCCTGTAGTCCTTGTACACCTTGGAGTTTTCATCTTCATGAACATTAACCCGGTCACCAATGACCGTCATACTACTCTCCTTCGAGCTCATCTTACTTGAAAAATCGCTGCCTTCTCCGCAGCGGTTTCCAGGGCCACAAGGGCCCTAGCAAGAAGTTAAAATTTTCAGACAGTCAGAATAGAGCGTCGACCACAACTCCACCTTGGCTTTCTGGCGTTTCCTACCTGTCTTATTAATGCACAAGAAACGAAATGTATCCAATCGGAGGTGTTCTGGAAACACACGCCGCTGCGTGGAACGCGGTACGACGCTTAGTGTCACGTGGTACGTGCTCGTTTGTGCTCCAGAAATTCTCCCACTGTTTGTCTCGCCCCGTGTACATGTAGTAGTATTCTTTGTTTATGAGCTTTAGAGACACGGTATCATCATCATCTGCGAGAATCAAGAGCCACGTTATTGAATATACAACACGGGCACTTCACGTCATCGTACGTGGTCTCCGAGGAGGATATGAACGACTATGTGCAGATGAATGAACCGTACTTAATCCAATGAATTAAAGAATCTAAGTTTTCAGGAACCCGCCGAAAGCCAAAAATTGGCGGAGCCAGGATTTGAACTCTGGGCCTCCCAATGTCCGGTCGTTGGGAGGCCCAGACCGGACATTGGGAGGCCCAGAGTTCAAATCCTGGCTCCGCCAATTTTTGGCTTTCGGCGGGTTCCTGAAAACTTAGATTCTTTAATTCATTGGATTAAGTACGGTTCATTCATCTGCACATAGTCGTTCATATCCTCCTCGGAGACCACGTACAATGACGTGAAGTGCCCGTGTTGTATATACATATATATATATATATACATATATATATATATATATTTCTTTTGTGTGTGTGTTAGGCGATATATAACGTTGCCAGAAGACTACCCAAACAATATTTTGCTACAGCATCACGTATATTTTTAATAAAATAAAAAAAAAACGCAACTGCTCGAAACTGAACGGAAACCGAAACTGGATTGTGGAGGCAGTAATAATATAGAGGTGGAGAGCGTTGCCGTAGATCACGTAACTGTGCACCCTTTTTTTTCAATCAACGTATTTGCAGCTTTTTAGAAGCCACAAAAAATAGGCATCATCTTTTTTATATCTTTAATATTGTGTGTGTGCCTTCGGTGACCCACGACTTTGATTATCTTTGGTGGTTGTGTCTAAACCATATAAACCGGCACGTGACCAAGGAGAAGAGAGTGAGCGCGGCTCAAACCGGCCAATTCTCGATCGGCGGTTTTCGGACGGAAAGGAAACGAATTTGGATCTGCAAATTTTGTTCTGGGTAATTGGGCGCTCACGTGCCCTATGCAAATGAAAACACTGGCGAGCATAAATGCCCTGTCAGTGTCCCTTTAACCTTGACCCGTTTAATATGTTGCACTTAATTTCTACTCACATTAACTGAGGAATCCGGTTAAAGAATAATGAAATATTTTTTTTATTTTTTGTTTGTGTGATTTATTCGATTGTCTACAGATACTTGCTTCGTCTATCAGTGACTCTGAAGCCTGCTGCTCTCTCTCTCTCTCTCTCTCTCTCGCTCTCTCTCTCTCTCTCTCTCTCTATATATATATATATATATATATATATGTAACTTAGATTGTATGGCTTTTCTGAATACTGATTTTATTTGATAATATGTGTTACATTTTGATTTTCCAGACTTTTCATGGAGCTACCAAAGTACAAGGTACGATTGAATAAAATTTCCCCTGCACTTTAACATATCGTCCCTCCTAATATGTGCACTGTCAGGAACGTGCTCACTCATAGTGGTGACTTTTAGCAAACCGCTGCCGTGTTCCGCGCACCGCACCTTTGAAGCATGCTTTTAAGCGCGCGCCCCGTGGTCACGGTATTACCCGTGCGCGCTTACTTTAAAGGGGTAGTGAAACGAAATTTTAGCGCCGATCTTGTTGCATAAATATGGGCTAGGGACAGGCACCACCTCGGAAATATAAATATTGCGCTGTAAAACACAGGAGAACTAATTTTAAACATAATTAAACGATTTCAAATTCTCATCTGGTGGATGGGGGGAAGTTCTCGTGACATCACTTGTGCCAAAATAGCAGCGCCGTTCTGCGGCAATACGGCGTGCCGGCAGAACTCGCCTAGGCCTGAACGCGTTTACAAAGCCTTGGCGGAGAAAGCCAAAGCGTAGTTGGCCACAGTGAGCTCGTTCTCGTTGCGGCTCTTTGCACGACACGGCCCGAGCACGCTTCTGGCACGGCCGGTATTAGTTGCTGCGAGTCGCGAGCTGCAAGCCGACGTTAAAAAGGATATGTTTGAACTACGAGGGTGGCAGCAAGAGCCACGCAAATGCCAAATACCTGTTCACACTCGGAGCGGACACGCGCGTTTGATCGAAGTGCTGGATTCGCTGTTAGACCGCGTTTCGGTAAGCGCTTCTGGACCGATCTTTTACGATTGCAACTCGATACTGACATGACACTCGGCAAAGAAAGGTTAGACCGACATCGCGTAGCTCCCACGAACTGCTATAGCTCGACACTGACGTAGCGTCGAGTCAGAATAAAAATGGCATACTAATAACAGTGTACATACCGAGTTGCCAAGGTAATCCGTATGGCGTTTATTTGAGCTCTATATCACACAAAACAAGGAGATAGAATCAATGAGAGTCCCTTTTCGACGACAGCGTTCGTCACCGCTGTCTCGGAAAACAAGGAGATCGAGATGACAAGGGGAAAATATTGACCTCTGAAATTTAGTTCAGGGATCAAACTACTCATCCGGTAAGGGTCCACAAGGGTCGCGCGGGCATATTCCATTCAGCAGGCCAGCCGGTCATGGACAGACGGTCTTGGCCAAGGACCGCCGGAGCAACGGTGCGCCGAGTCGATGTTGCTGCTAGGCCTATATATTCTGCCGAGCTCGCTCGGTCGGCAGAATCGTGGCTGTTGGAGCTCTTCTCGTGTGTTTGTGGATCCTGCGTTCTTGATCGTCGTGGTCTGTTTTAAGTACTCCTTCCTTTTTTCTTGCTGGTCGAAGTCGGGACGCACGAGAAGAGTACGAAGAAAAATAAATGTCCGTTGGTGGCCGATACCAAGTAAGTGAGCGACGCTGTCGGCCTTGTTGATTTGATCGTAAAAAGTGCGTAAGACAGCTTCGGAGCTGTCGTAGGATTCTGTCGTAACCTGCGCAAAGGTTACGACAATTTCGTTTCGAGAGCACGGGTTTTCTCTCAAATTTGTCGTACGCACTTTTTTCGTCGTGAATTCGCTTTGAGAATCCGGCCTCAGAGCTGGTTTTGTCAGTGCTGCCGTGGTTGCCGACCTGCCGTGGTCCCGTGGTGCAGCGTGCGTGCAGCCCTTGCACATCTCAAACGGCCACGTTGTCACAGGTCGTAAATCGTCGACGCGCCACCAAGTGGCAACGCTCGTAACCACAACATTCACGCCGTAGCCTTTCCCGACCGGCACAAGTGACGTCACGAATGCGCCCAATATCCCAAGACGCATCGCGCTCTCCGATGGCCGATTTTTGAGCGCGCGCCCAATCGGGCCCATCAGGGTGAAAAATATAGCCATCCGTTCAAAATACAAACGCGCGATTATGATTTATGAATATCATTGATCATATTGAACCTATTTCTGACCATAATAGGTGTATTTCAAGTTTCGCTTCAGTATCCCTTTAAAAGCACGCTTCAAAGGCTCCGGTAGTACGGTACGCGGAACACGGTAACAGTTTGCTAAAAGACCCCAACACGGTGCCTGTAACGCGCGTCTTCGCCCGGTGTAATTACCACGACCGAAAAAGTGTATGGTCCCTCGCTTTCCGCCTGATGACGTCATAGAGGTATCACGCTGCCGCCGGTCGCGATCCTGGCGGTGTCCCAGCAGCGGTGGCGGAGATGGCAGACGCCTGTCCTGCCGCAGGTCGCTCTCCGATGTGACAGTACACGGAAGTTTAGGCAGCCATGAGTTGGGACGCCGCGACGGCAGCGACACCCCGCGTTCGCTCGCGCTTTTCGCCGGCAATTTTACGACCAAACGCCAGGATCGCCACATCCGAAAGCCGGAAACTCCGACTTTTGTGACGACATTTGTTACCATTTTGGGGCCACTTTTGATTATGGCCGGGACATAGGATGCTAAAAACACCAGTCGAAGACGCGTTCTAGGCAGCATACTATAATACATAACAAAACCACCTCATATCTCCGCACCCCCTTACCGCCAAGAACCTTTTTAGTTTTTTTTTTTTTTTTTTTCTGTTCTCTGTATTTTAACACAGATTCAGCTCCACGGCCACCTGGAGACCCACGTGCGGCACTCTACCATCTGGGATTTGGTCCAGTTGAGTATCGCATTAATTCCAATTAAACTCTGCTTCAACAAAGGTTTTCGTGTCATCGTTGTTCGAATATCGTGTTGCTCCTCTTGCAGGAAGAAAAAACTCGATTTGGGCTATAAAAGCATCGAAGACGTGGTCCAGAAGACTAAAGCTGAACCCAGCTCGACGCTGGCCAATTACCTCAAGGAGATAGCAAATGTTGCGAAAGCTATAAGGTACATTGACCTTCTTTACCGTCGTTCTGTAATAAGAACCTTAGCCGCTTTGCGTCTTACGATGTCAGGAATTCAGGCGACACACAGACCTCCAAGAAACATTTCTTTTATACCCCGTTTTACACTAAGTCCGTTTCACACCAATATTTGGTAATGGCAAATGTCTGGCGATGGTCTTTTGACCATTCATCGGCCAATGTTTGGCCGATGGCTGATGGCCAGTGGCCAATGGCCAAAGTATCATTGCCAACCATTGGCCAATGATTGGCCAAATCTGTGATGCTGGGGGTATTTATCCACACCCTCCCTTTACATCGCGTACATTTTTGCGTACGACGTAAGCAGACAGGTGGACAATAAATATGTAAACCCATTTTCGGTTTATTAAAAAAAAGTTTGCCTTTTTGAGCATCGGTTGACGAGACTATGGTGTGGTTGTTTTCTTTATTGGACATAGTTTCAACAAATGGTTAGTTGAAGAGCTGCGATTGTCTTGTCTGCTGCATATATCTGCACATGTCTATTACGCGCTGTGCAACAATTTCTCAACTCGTTTTCACCTAAAAAAAAACAGTAAGTTTTGCGCTTTGTCAATACACCACGCCAAGTAGTTCTCACAATATTTTCTGTACGAGGAAGAAGCGATATTCTTGGAGTTTTAAACGTGCACGACTTGATACGATAACATATATCTACTCTAAAATGCCCCTAAATATATCTTAATTGTCGATCAAAAGGTGAAATTTAGTAATGCTCTAAGAGGGGCCGGACCCTTTTCATACGGTTCTTGGGGTGAATGCAAGTATAAAAAATTCTGTAACAAAAAACAAAAATGTTTGTGTAAAGAGACATTAGTTGTATCACGACCTTCGCACAGAGGTGACCGAGACGCTGTCGTCCGCATCGCCTACGAAGCTGGAGTGGATCTGGCCGCCCAGGGCGTGCTCTACGGCGAGATGTTTCTCGGCACGACTACGTACGTCGGCGACGCGTCGGGCTCTTCGCTCCGCACAGCGGCGGAGGTGGTCGAAGCAGTGCTGGAGGGCTTCGCCAAGGCAGAGCGGGAGAAGGACATCAAGCTGAGACTCGTGCTTGTCATAGCAAGGGCGCTACCAGGTGCACACTATACGGTCCCTCATCGAGGCTACCCAACCAGGCTTCGTTGTGGGTTGGCGGTCACCATAGCAATCGTCGCCGACGCTGGGGTGTGGTGGCGCGTCATACGCTCTAAAAAAAGGGTATCGCCTTACACCCTTTTGTCCCATATAATGCACCCCAAAACTTCAGTTCGACGTACAGTGCACTGTAGTCGAACAGACGGCTCCAAAGTTTACGAGGGGCTTGACAGCGGTGCGATATAACTTATGCAATAGTTACAGTACGTATCAAATACCACAGAAAGAAAACATTGAGGTTGTGCAGTAGGGCCAAGAAAACCCCGATTATTTTTTTAGTCAGTAACAGGTGCATTAATTATTTTAATAAGTTGCACCACACGGCTATCAAGCCTCTCGTGAAAGTTAGTACCGACAGATCGACATAAGTGCGCTGTACGTCCAACTGAAGTTTTGGGGTGTATTATATGGGACAAAGGGTGTAAAAGTACACCCTTCTTTTTTAGAGTGTTGGGTCACGTCACAGCGTCGACTACGGTTTCTATACGGTAACCATGCACCGCCCGTATTCATCGCTCGTGTGTTTGGCGCTTTAGAATTCCTTATTTTGGGAGCAGCAGTTCCACAAAACAGGACCGAAATGAATCGGCCAGCCAATCAAGTAGTCAGTCAATGAACCAATCAATCAATCGACAAGAAACCAATTCATACGCTAGTTATGGATCGATTGATGAATTGATTGAATTGTCAAATTCTCTTAAGTGATCGTGGGGATCCCGACGATGACGAAGGCTCGTACTGGAGGCGGGGTTTTCTCTAACTCCTTCCTTAAAGGCCGACGACCAGATACGAGATTCTGCAAGGCAGAAGATCCTCCTTACCCTGGGGGAGGAGGAAACAGGCAACGGCGGACAGAGTAGAAGGGGGAGAGGAGGAAGCGGGGAAAAGTGGAAAGCGCGAACTGGTCGTCGGTCTTTAAAGAAACCAGGAAATTATTATTTTTTTTCTTCAGCTTCTTGTACCTTAGCTTTGATTCCCAACTCAAAAACGAAATGAGAAAACACGTGGTGGTCACGTGCTTGGGCGCCGGGTTCAATGATTCCAATCTTCCACCGTTATTTTTAAGCACACCCTGTAATTTGTAGAAGGGTGGTGAGCTGGGCCAGTTCTTCGTAAGTGATGACAAGTGCAGTCACGGCACCCATTGGCCACGAGCGCCAATCAAAATCTACAGATTGATTGTTGACGAGCGCATACGTCCGAGTGACGTAGTTCTCGTTTCCAACCCGTGAGCTGGGTTCGGATGACGTGCTCGCGGGCACCGCGGATGCATCACAGTGAAAAGGCGGAGAGGTTTCGATGGGAAGGAGGTATGAAATAGTCCGCCCTACACTAGGGTGACCACCTTCCTGCCGTCAAAATGCGGGACACCCTGACCCCGGGAGGGGGGGGGGGGGGGGTAAGAAGAGGAGGACGTCATTTTTACGACTGAAGAAGAACGTATTAAAGAAAATTCATCAGCACGCACACTTCGCAATCCTGTGCTGTCCGAAAGAATATTAAACACCTTAAAATTGTGTTGCGACAATTGTAATGGTAAACATTTTATTAAAGCTGTCTAGGTTAATAACATAAAAATCGACTGCACCAGACCCCAATGCATTAAAAGGAACTAAGAAACAGTAAATCTTTTTCGGCTTATTGTTTCCTGTCGACACTACTCTTATACTAACATGCTCCTACATAAAATTAGAACCTTGTGTTATTTTTTCCGACTCTTGGGAGTTGCAGGCTTTTTGCCTTGTACAGCCGTTTTTACAAAACAACAACAACAACAACTTTTTACAACGATTCTTTTGCATGACAGAGTAGGATTTGCAAATAATTCCAATAGTTTATTTTTCAACTTTTTGTGAGAAATTTTCGCTTGCAATATTTTGCCATCGAGGGGAGAGGCACAATGGCGCATGCGCGTCGGACTCCTGCAAGAACGACGGTCGCTTTCCGCAGTGCTCAGATAGAAAATGTTATAACCATCAAGATTCACACGCTTACCAGTGACCTCCGTGCTTCCCGGTGCCCCGTTGTTTGGAAGCGCCATAATTTGTGTAGTGAATGTTAGGACAATGTGAAATGCGGGACATTTTGAAAATTTTGGTATTTCTTGCGGGACGTGGGACACGAGCCCTCAATGCGGGACAGTCCCGCGATTTGCGGGACGGGTGGTCACCCTACCCTACACAAGTTTGATTATGCTGAGAAGAATCTGTAGAGCTCAAACTACCACCTCGCAGAAATTGACGTCACGTGACTTGAGTTGACATGACGTGGTCCCGTCAATTTCCTTGGGGAAACTGACATCAAGTGGCCTTGTCACTTGGCGTGGTCACCTGGTAATATTTTCCACTCTAAATTTAGCGGCCACATTTACTTGGCGGTTCGTCGTAACAGAGTTCTCGCGGAAGTGGGCTGATAAAAAAATACTCTGTGTCAAAAATAGGACTAAAAATTTACAATTCTGATAGAACTTCAAAAATGTCATTGACACTTTCCCCTTGGACCTTCCGTATACTGCAGAGACTGCCGAAGAGGCGCTCAACCTATGCTACGAGTACCGTGACCGTGGTGTCGTTGGCATCGATGCTTGCGGAAGCATCAAGGGAATGCCAACCGCCGAAGAAGGCGAAGAAGTCCTCGCACCGGAAATCATCCAAGCTTTAAAGGTGACACGTCTTTTCCTTGTGATTTGATCGTCTCTTCCGCTAATCAACGCCCAGTTATTTAAAAAAAGAAAAGATGAAAGACGTTTACAACTCCCTGTAACGCCGAATTAGAGTGCAGCTTTTGAGGAGGAGGAGGGGGGGAGGGCACTGAGCGGAGGGTATGCCCGGGCCTCCTGATCCGTACCCTCTCCCCTCCTCCCTCCTCCTCGTCCTCCTCTCCTCCACCCCTCCTCTCTCCTCCTCCCCGCGCGTTGCATCATGGGACATTTCCCGTAAGGCAACACGTGACGTGACGTCACGTGACCCTCCCCGCGCGTTGCATTATGGGACATTCCCATAATGCACCGCGCGGTTACGCCGACGCCGCTCAAGCTGGATACGAGCGCCTAAGAGCTGCGCCCTAAAGAAAGAAAAAACACATAAACGCATTACCATTTGCATGCATCAATCTATCATGGTGACTGTTGTGAATATGTTTTGCAGCAGTTTGAAAAACTGTCGTGTCACCATTTCAGGGGTGGGCATTCCTGGCACGGTCTAGCTACTACCGCGATATTCTTACACTGATGTTAAGCGTGGTTCACATGCAGCGGCTTTGGCCTTACCGCTCATTCACACTGGCAGCGGATCCGCGTTCGCAAAGCGGTTGCGAACGCGATTGTATAAAGATCCAGTACAATTGCACGCGTACTTGATGTCATTGAATGCACGTGCAATAGTACTGGATCTTTATACAACCGCGTTCGCAACCGCATTGCGATCGCGGATCCGCTTCCAGTGTGAATGAGCGGTTAGAGCGGCGCGATTTCTGCCGCCGCGGCGCTCGTGCCACTCAACCGCTGGTGCTGGTCAGAGCGCCGCGACGGCAGAAATCGCGTGAAACACGCTTCAGAAGACATTTTGTGCCGCGACTATGTCGTGTCAATTATTTTCTGAACACAATTCTAATGCAAGGCGTCCGGTATGCGATCGTGTTAGAAGAATCCGCAACGCTTTATGCACCTAAAAGAAAAACCTGCGGCTATAATGTTCAAAATTGGTTGCTGAACGATTATGTGACACCGTTCCGGCTCTGCTTTAGGAGCGGATCCTTACGCAGTGTTGTAACTGCTACTGCAACACTGCTACCCGTATGCTAGAAAAATGTTCTACGTTGGGAGACCATGTTGCCCCGACTGTTACCGCGATAGGAAATTTTACCTGGTGAGCTAGAGGGGCTCTCTGAAAAACAAGCTGAACAAAGCGCCCCCCAGAGCTCAATCTCCTAATATTTAATAAGTGTTCATTTTATTTTAGCTGTGTCATTCATATACTGTCAAGACCGTTTATAACGAATTCGGTTATAATGAAATAGCGGCTACAGCGAAGCGATCACGTTTTTCCATTCCCTTTTGCACTTCATTATAACCGAAGTCGGTTATAACGAAATAGCGGATATAGCGAAGTGATTTCCGATTCCCTTTGACTTCGTTATAATCGGTGTCGACAGTTATTAGACGCTTCATTTATGTGTCGTCTACTTCTATTCAGAATGCATCTCAGCTTGGCGTTCATCGCACCATACACGCCGGTGAGTCTGGTCCACCGTCGAACGTGGCACGTGCAATCGAAGTACTTGGGGCGGAGCGGATAGGCCACGGCTACAGCGCCATCATGGAAAACGGCAGCACGTATCGTCTCGCTCTGCGCCGAAGAATCCACTTCGAGGTCTGCCCTACCTGCAGTTACCTGACGGGTGCGGTCAAGAAAGACCAGGAACATCCTCTCGTCAGGTGAGTTTAGAGACAGTTGCCAAAAAGAGCACGGCCGCAGAGAGGTAGCCACCTTCGGAGAAATACTAAAAAACGCCTAGGTTTTCTTATGATTTCTTATGCGTTAAAGAAAAGACGCCAGGCTAGCAGTCAAGACTGCAGTCGCAAAAGTTCTCATCTACAGTGGAAACATCAGAAGGCCATTGGAGCTGACGAACCTTCCGTTGTCTAAACATGCACACATCCCACCGCAGGCGCAGTACATATTTACAAATAAATATCATCTGACTTGCGACATCGGCGAATCTTTACTCAGACCTCACAAAGAACAAACGAGGTTTTGATTGCGGAAATCCTTCGTTCCAGTCATGTGACATACTCATAGTTCACTGGTGCGATTCGTAGGTAAAGTAACCCCAGCTCGCGTTATGTCAAGAACTGCTATGATCAAGTGAAGTATAGCGTGCTGGTCGTTCGCCTTCAACTTGTCAACCACAGCGCACACAGTGCTGGCGATCAAAGATTCACTTTCTACATAGTTGTTACAGGATATTGAAGAATAGTTAGAAACGAGTTTATACTTAATGAAGCGCCGTAAATGAAATATTGGGTTAAATGAGAAATAGTTCGTCTCTCTCCGGATGATATACTCAGTGGTTCTGTGGTTGCTGGTGTGGCCTATAGACGCAAGACCGCTTTGGTCAGCTGTGCCATGAGCACATCGTTTTGTGATCAGGGTGGGCTAGTTACAGTCAGCGTCTTAACTTAGACCATGCGAAAAAAAAAAAAAAGAAGCCTGCCAAGCCTGCACTCTATAAAAGAATTGGTCGTAAAAGAACTCTTAGGGCTTCTTCGGCTAGTCTATTATTTTTACCGTAAAACGTTATTTTAAGCACCCCTAAAATGGTTTTATGTGAAAGACCTATAAGGGGTCCTTTTAAGCTCATCTTTTTGACGCAAACAGCTTCTTTATCGCCAAAAAGGCGCACTAGAAAGGCAACTTGCTGGCCCAGAACGTGCACCGAAGGACCAGTTGATTAAAAACTTTACAACTTCCACAGCTGTCTGAGATGTTGAAAGTGGTTTATTACTTTTCGTACGCGTATTGTTGGTGTAGTATGGTCGTCATTGGCATACAGTGACAAATATGATGGCCACTGCTGTGATACCTTCAAGGAGGAGAAATGTGAAGTAATCTGCTTGGAATCACAGAATGACTATGCCGTAAATTTTCCAGTGTTTATTTTTATTTATAAAGAAATCGGCGGATGTTTTTTTTTTTGATGCTTGTTTGGTCTCAAAAAATTGTTGTATTCCGGTGATCTAACTCTGATCGACGCTAACAACGGTGATTAACGGCGAAAAATAGCTAATAAAAGCAACTAAAAATTTAAGTCTAAACGGAGAGGATTTCGGCGAAAACAGTCCCTTCTGTAGAAAAGATTCGCATAAATCGGTGTGCTTCGGTTTTAACCTATTTTGTATCTTTCACAGAAACGGATGTTTATCGGTGCTTTTCGGTTTTAACCGCCACTAATTTTGACACCGACGGATGTTTATCGATGTCTTTAAGTTAAAACCAGAAAGTCTATAGCCGAAGTATGTCTTATCACCAGTTTTGATGTTTCAGGCTTAGCGATGTATTGAACCTCTAAACTTACCAGGATAAGCAGCGAGAACCGGATCACTCGATGCAGTTGCGGGATCAAAAAGAAGTTGCCCGAGACATGTACAACGTGTTCACCGTAAAACGACAGGTTTCGTGTATACGGCTTTTGCTTGTAGGGAAGCCTGTCAGATATTTTTACCGCTTGTCATGGCGATCAGCCTGCGATAAATTTCGTGGGGCATTTTTTTCCGACGTCAACGCAGGCTATGCAAGGACGGCGCGAGCTTCTCTATCAGTACGGATGGACCCACCCTGACTCACACCACTCTGGAAGACGAGTACCGCCTCGCACTTTCTCTCGGACTAACCCCGGAAGACATCGTGAAATCTGTAAGTTTACAGTACAACCTTTCGTGTACACTATTCGAGGCACGGTTCACGCTTCATCGTTTTCTTACGTTACGTTACGTTACCGAAGCGTACAACTAATTTCGCTTTGCATTTTTTCACAGAACCGGTCCGCCATCTTGGCAAGTTTCCTGCCAGTTCACGAGAAACAGGAACTGCTGAAGAAATTTGACGAGCTGAACGGAATTAGCGGACTTTAAGACAGCGACCGGAGCCTAGAAGGAATGATATCCCCTAGAGAATAGCAAACAACAAATACATATGTGGGATTACATAAACATTTTATTCCTTATGTGAGACCACTATTATTTTTATCAATTCAGTAGGCGTACCCTAATGCAGTCTGTACGGTTAGTAGGGTGGCTGAAGCTGAAGGGTTTGTACAAATTTTGCAGCAATGGTGCCGCCGGCACAAGAGGACGATCACATTGTTCAGCTGCCTGTCTGCAACAAATGTTTTCTATTCGTTATCGCTGCTGTTCTGTCGGCAGAAAACGTATGAGAAAGGCTCAGATGAATCGATTTGCAGTGATCGGGGACTATAAGAAAAGAGCTGGCGATTTTAGCGTAGATATTATCGAGTCGTATATACATACACACTAGACTGCTCTCCCATGTTGTCGCCCCATGCCTGCAACAGGTGCAATATACGCGTGAGGGCACATTTGACAGGCTTGCAAAGACCCTTTTCAAAAGTGAACGAAATAGCATTGTCGATCGCCAAAATATGACAGCTTCGGTAGCCTCAGATAATCGATAAAGTAGAAAAAAGTCACGATTTAAAAAAAAGAAACATAAAATAAAGCAAATTTATTTAACTTAAATCAGAGTATTCTTTTTTTAATCGGATTAATTTGTTATATCCCACTAACTAGAAAATAGCGATTCTTTGTCACTATATTTGTTTATTTATTTATTTATTTACTGAAATACCTTAAAGGTCCTTCTGGGAAGGACATTACATAAGAGGGGGGGAGGGTGTAACTACATCATATATGAAACACACAAAAAGTAATAAAATAAAAACATGCACAGCAGTGCAAACATACAAGAAATCGTAAATCAAGCAACAAAAAAGAAAATCTTGCACAGTAGTGCAAACATACAAGAAATTGCAAGTCATACAATACCTAAATGGCTGCTGATGAGAAAACGAAAACTATCAGGGTTAATCTCGGTGACGATGAGCTCTGTTAGATCATTCCACCACACTGCTGTTTCGGAGAAGAAGGAATGCAAAAAAAAAAAAAAAGGAAGTGCGGCAGGTGAAACATTTCCTCTTACATGAGTGATTAAGACGAGGTGTAATGAAATGCGACTGTGTTAGGCTTCCTTGGCTAAGAAATGGTGCATAGTAAATGCGATGAAAAAGGCATAAGCAAGAAAGCTTGCGGCTTTCTGTTTTAATAAGGTGACGCTGGAATGTCGAGAATACTCAGATAAAATAAAGCGCGCGACACGGTTTTGAAAGGCTTCTATTTCAGTGAACAAATATGCTTGGTGAAGATCCCAGATGCTCAATGCGTACTCAAGTTTCGGCCAAATCAATGTAAGGTATGCAGTTTTCTTTAAAGGGCAACTCCGGTCCATACTTTCGATCTTGGGATTATGACTGTTTTAGTGTAGTCAGCGTCTCTGAATTGTAAGGTGTAATTTTTTTTCTCGTTATTGTGTGTAGTTTTAAAGATATCGACGACTGAAAGTTTTGTTTGGGGCGCGGCCGACAAAACCGAAACTAGCCGTTCGAGGCCCCGGCAACACTGGAAATCAGCCGCTATGTGGACGTGACGTCAGGATCGTGGTAGTATACGTGTATACGTGGTAGTTATCCAGCATATGTAGCAAGAATCTAGCGACTGGACAACCCGTGAACTCGTACGGTGCCGTACTCGGCGGTCGCTGCCGTGCGTGCGCTATGCCATACTCGTCGCTTGTATAGGGAGTATTCACTGGCGGCCATAGCCGTGTGCGCTACTGCTGAGCGCGCGCTCGTGGCGAGCTTCCACAGTTTTTTTGCAACGTGCATTCCATACGAGTTCGTTCTGAGCATGCGCTCTAAACAGCACCCACAAGTATGGCGTCCAGTGAATACTTCTTATACCCAAAAGCTAGCGACTGGAAAACGAGTGAACTCGTTCGCTGCCGTACTCGGCGGCTGTCGCCGTGTGTGCGGTCTTCCGTACTCGTCCCTAGGCCTAAATTGTCATCGGGGCTCCGTGAATGGAGCGGCGTTGCTCTACGCCGCGCTGTCAGTGACGTACAGTACTGGGGCCCCTCTCGCGTTTGCGCTGCGGGTCAGTCCCAGACACAAAGCTTTGAGGCTTTCCGGCGTGGGTTGCGGCGCCCGAACACACGTGGGCTGAGCTGTACACGTCTGTTTTTTCGTTCTTTTTTCCTCGGGCGCGTAAAAGCCGAAGTCCAAAGTTCACTCGTCGAACAGCGTCCACCCACATCTTCTCCTATTTCCGGTCCGTTGGAAACTTCTGAAAAAGGACCTCCGTGTTGCGCAGCGGGTTGTTTGAGCAGCCCACAGCGCTACAAGTTGCACTCGGCATCTTTCAAGGAACAGCTGAGCAGTCTTGGGCGCACCGAGTTGCTTGTTAAAACGAGTGTTAGAGTTTTCACAAGCAAATGAACAGAAGGCTATACCGAAGCTACACGGGCTACAGATAAAAGCAATGGTTAAACACGCCAGTCACAAGCCGAAGCAGCGGTGGTAGCGGCTCAAAGAAGCGCACTCCGCGCAACGCCCGGACCGGAAGAAAAAAGGTGAACGATACTGACGTCACGGCCCAATGTTGCTTTAGCGATCGGCAACCCGCTGGCCGCCCGCTAAGGAGCAGCGGCTCGCGGCGGGTCGCATGTTTATTATCGAGATTAGTTGAGAATACGGCGTCCCATGGACGCAATATTTTGGCTGGGGTCGTATTTTGTGTCACTACAGCGGTACCAGTAATTTATTTCATTTTGAGTTTTGGGCGGGGTTGCCCTTTAAAGGAGCACAACGAGGTGAATGTTTTAGGTAGCCCAAAGAACGATTGCACGATGATAACAGTGACCGACTATGTACCTTCCAGGAGAAATGCGAGTCGACGTAAATACATAAGTTTTTTTTTTTTTTTTAAATTGGCAGTTTGATTTATTTGTCCGACCACTGATAAAAATGCGGAATAAATAATTACTATAAAAGTAGAGTTTCACTAACCTTTTATTGCTCTAATACCCGCATACTAGAACGAAAACCGCTTAAAGGGGTCATGAAACGATTTTCCTACTTCTTCCTCCTTAGCTTTAATCCTCAAATGCGAATTGTGAAATCACGTCACCGTGACATTCTTCGGCACCGGTGCGATGACTCCTATACTCCGTTTCACCTTATATTGTACCGCAGCGAAGGCTAGAAGCGCGAGCTCATAGCGTCGGCAGCTGCCCTTAAAGGGCAACTCCACTCAAAAAGTCGACCCTATCGAAATGACTGATATCGCTTTAGCAAGTCAAAATACGGTCATACCCAAAATATCACGTCAAACTGACCCCGCGTTACCGATTAAAACCAATATTAAAAATGTTTTCCCGGCTCGGTTAGCGGCCCGAAAGCGGGTGAGCAACGCTGGCACCGGGTGAGCTAGTGAAGCAACACTGGGCAATGACGTAGGTCTAGTCCTACGCTCTCGTACGGACGTCGCGGACGCTTCGTTTCCCGTGGCATTTTGCGATTCTGCTGACGGCACGAGGTGTTTACCACATTATCCTGTGTTCTCCTATTTTTATTAGCGTCCAGGCAGTTCCTTTAATTTCAGCATTGCTTCCGCGACAGCGCGGAAGAGAGCAAAGCGGTGCTGCTCGCTCACGCGCGGGTCGTGGAGCCGGAGAGATTCGCCGGTCTCGCGTTGGGCAATGTCGAGCAGGATTTGTAGTGCTGTGGGTTGCACCAACAACCCGGTCCGCAACCCGGAGCTGCGGTTCCACCAGTTCCCAAGAGACCGGGAGAGGCACAAGGTGTGGGTCGGTGCCGTTCGCCGGATAGACTTCGGAAGACCGTTGACTCCGAGCTCCAACGCGAAGCTCTGCTCCCAGCACTTTACGTCAGACTACTACACACGGGATCTGCGGCTGCTGACTGTTGCGGGTTTCACCACGAAACAGGCGTCTTTGAAGAACGATGCGGTGCCGTCGCTGTTCGCGTACCGTCAGCCGGCTGCTCCAGCACGATCGGCCGGACGCAGCAGGTCGCGGCGGATCTAACTAGCGTGCACATAAAGGCACCTTGGCTTTAACAACTTAGACCACTTGTGGATAGATCCGTCCATCTATCTCCCATTATTTCGTTTTCTCGGTCCGCGCGCAAGAAACAAATACAGTCACGCTGTGCCGGCACCGACCGTGTCATATTTATAGCAGTCGGATTCGCTTTTCGGCCGGCAAATTTATAAATACACACTAAAAATTACTACATTTGGTGCATATTAACAAAATGAAGCGGTAAAAAAAGAAAATGTGCATCTAACCTTCTGTTTTGAAACTCCACGTACGACTGAGCCGACCTTGTCGGCGCGTCGGCTCAGAAGCGCGGGACTAGAACTAGGTCATGCCGACGACGCGCCAATAGTATCAGTGTTGCCAAGCTGCTTCAACCGGTAGTTTCGGTTTCGCCGTGCCGCCGGACCGATTCTTGCATTCGCGATATCTACAAAACTATACACACTACCGAAAAACAAATTATATTTCGTGATTCAGGGTCGCCGGCTTCGACTAAACAGATCATAACCCAAAAATTGTAAAAATGGAGTGGAGTTGCCCTTTAATGCACGAGAGCTTGTGCCGCCGAGACGTGCCCTAGAGCAAGGAGCTCGCGCTTGTAGCCTTCCCTGCGGTACATCATAAGGGGAAATAGAGTATAGCTTCCACCGTGCTTTTTATGCACACCATAGAACTTGTCATTCCCCAGTGACGATAAGTTCCGTCAGGGCACTCATTGGCCACGAACGCGAATCCAAATATTCGTCGACGGATTGATTGTTGACGAGCGCATACATCCGAGTGACGCAGTTCTCGTGTCCAATGCGTGAGCTGGGCTCGGCTGACGTCAGGTTGGCACCGCTGACGCGCTTTGGGAACCGCGGATGTATCATAGTGAAAAGGCGGAGAGCTTTCGAAGGCAAGAAGGTACAAAATAGTCCGCTATATTTTCAAATGTTCGTACCGAAAAGCTGGCTGTTGACTTTCCACCCTCTTTCTTTTGGGCAACTAAACGATATGGCATTAGTAAAGTCCCAAATTAAAATCATTTATCCCAG